AATGGAAAAATTCCTTGAAAATATTGTACTACCATCATCATTCAACTCAGGGTGAAAAGAATTATACTACCATCATCATTCACATGCGGAGCTAGGTATATGATTCAAAACTATCAAGATGAAATGGAATATGCAGGCACATCGGTTATCCTCATCTGTTCATAACATTCACATGCAACCCGAAGTGGACTGAGATTGAGTGCTATGTTGCACAACGTGGGCTTAAAGCAGAGGATAGACTCGATATTGTTTGTCGCGTGTTTAAGATGAAATTTGATGCTATGATTGAAGATATCAAGACGGAAAAGCTGTTTGGCGACATATGTGGAGGTATTTGATTATCATACATACTTTAATGTGCCTTAATTAAATTTAAATTTCATGTATAAAATTACTTTTTTTTTATTTTAATTTTCTGCACAGTTATCTACACAATTGAATTTAAAAAAAGATGACTCCCTCACGCGCACATATTGCTATTTGCCAAAAGAATGAATCGGGCACATTCCACACCGGAAGTTGATGCCTTGATTTCTACTGAAATTCCAGACCAAGATGCGGACAATAAGTACAATGACGCAGTTAGCGAATTTATGTTGCACGGACCGTGTGGACAACTCCGGAAGAATTCGCCATGCATGGTAAATGGTAAATTTTCAAAGTATTTCCCCAAAAAATATGCTAGTCAGACGATTCTGGATAAAGATGGTTACCTAATCTACAGAAGGCATGACAATGGACGCATAAAATAATATTGAAGTGTGGACCTGATCCAATTGCAACTATATTTGAAAGCATCTTCCCAACCGCGAAGTATGGAATGCTAGAAGAGTCGCACCTAGAAGGACGAGCGATCCTCTCACCGACTTTAGATGTTGTTTATCAAATTAATCAGTATATGTGTGACATGAACACTGCAGAAGGTCAGACGTATTTAAACTGTGACCCTTTGTGTAAGGTAGAATCAGATAGATGGTGATAATCTCTCACAAGTACACACTCCTGAATTTTTAAATAGATTGAGATTGTCTAGACTTCTTAATCATTCATTGACAATAAAGGTTGGTGTACCTGTTATGTTACTGCGAAACATAGACCACTCTCTTGGTCTTTGCAACGGTACGCGCCTCATCGTTACAAGATTGGCGGATCATATTGTCGAAGCAAGAATAGTTAATGGAACGCAGCAAGGAAACAAAGTTCTTATACCACAAATGTCTCTCACCCCTTCTGATACGAGATTGTCATTCAAGTTCCAGCGTAAACAATTCCCGTTGATGCTAGCATATGCAATGACTATCAACAAAAGTCAGGGTTAAACACTAACTCACGTTGGCTTATTGTTGAAAAAATCAGTCTTTAATCACGGTCAATTGTATGTGACTTTTTCCCGAGTCACTCATCCTGATGGCCTTAAGGTTTTAGCTCTAGATGAGGATGGACAAACTTCTGTTAGTACTACTAATGTCGTCTACAAAGAGGTTTTCAACAATGTCTAATTCAAAACAGTTATATTATGTATACTTCTTGCACAAATATAACAAAATTGTTACATATCTACATATTACGTATATATTCCGTTACAAAAATTTCTATAGCTAAATTACTACACGTAAAGATAATGAGACCAATTAATTCAATTCCGAAACTTTCATACAAACCTTTCAACGTTAAAATTTGCAATATCGGATATGAAGCAAATTATAATTCATATATTATAACGAATACATACCGTGCATCGCACGGGTGCAAATACTAGTACGTATAAAATGAAACTAAATAACAGGTTTCACGTATCGAGTATGTATACATTATCAAACGAAACTGTAGTCATATCAAAATGATACTTTAGTTATGCTGTAATGAAACTATAGTGTATATAAAATAATATTAAATAACATATTTCACATATTTGAGTGTATAATGTCAAATTAAACTGTAATTAAATCAAAATGATATTTTAATTATGTTGTAATGAAACTAACGAAAAATAAAACATGCCATAAAAATAATCACATTTAAATTTGCCTCAATATACGCATCCCATTGTTTAGCAACAAAACAGGCGCTTGCACTCTCTCAAGATGTTTAAACATTACGTGTTTGGTAAATAGCTGTTACCTAATTGAGTTAGTGGTTTAATTAAATCAAAATGATATTTTAATTATGTTGTAATGAAACTAACGAAATATAAAACATGCCATAAAAAATAATCACATTTAAATTTGCCTCAATATACGCATCTTTTTTTTTTTGTTGTTGACGAATAACCCTTAAAAATTTTTTTTAAAAAAATTTCAGACGCCTAGCGTCTTTTTTAATACTGCTGATTGGAGTATTGGACTATTCGCACAATGCACGCATGATAACTAGTAATAATAAAATAAATGCTAATCCCCATACTTTGTAGCAGTCTACTACGTCATGCGACACAGCATAAGTAACCAATCAAATAGTAAAATTTTCAAAAAAAATATTACATTATCACATTAATTACCTACTTAGCTTATCTCTTCTTTTCTGTCATTTTCATGTGATCCTTAATTATACCAAACCTAACCTCGTTTAGCATTAGAGTAATTAGATGCTTTTGTCATCTTAATCTTGTTAAATAGTCTTATCATCCTACAAAAATGATTAATTATAAGTTCTTGTCAATATAATTTAAATTTGATATTTTTAAAAGATAATTTAATAAAATCGACAAGTGAAATAGTAAATAGAACAATCAAAGTATATTAAATAGATAATACACACCAGGACTATGTACTCTAATGGTATTCAGGTTGGACTTCTATTTGGAAGGTTGTAAGTTCAAGCCTTAGTGGAGGCATATACCACATTGTAATAGAGCTAATAGCATTCATTTGAAAAATTGTTGTTATTATTATTATTATTATTATTATTATTATTATTATTATTATTTACTTAGTCATTGGTAATTTGTTTACATTTAATGATTTTCTTTAGCTTTTTAAAATAATGTTTAAATTTGATTTTTTTTTAAATATTTAATGAAATTTGTAATGTAGTTTTTAAAATTATAAAAAAAAAAATTGAATTGTAAATAGGTTAAGTCAACTCGTGTTAATATAATCAGACACATAATTTATACGTAATGAAGAGTGTATCAAATTAATAATTCGAACCCTCAAATATGTTGTAATATAGACCATTTATCAACGAAAATTCATAATTATATTCTTACATTTTTTTTTAATTTACACATTAATTTTTCTTGTTTTTTTCCTTTTGTCCGACGTGGACCAACTATAGCTAGCTCATTCCACATGGACTAACTATAGCTAGCTATACTATTATTTAAAAGAATATATATTTTTTGAGTATTACTGAATCTATTACAATGTAGTATCTATTCATATAATATAGGATGAAGATGTAAACAACGAATTGGATAATGCTTAAATTCTTTTATTCATGTTCAAATTATAATCTTAAGTTGAAAAAGACGAAAATACCATTAAAATTTTTACATTTTGGCATGGTTTAAATGTGAGGGATAACTGTCGTGATGAATTGTGGCACTAAAATAATAGTTGTGGATGAAAATTGGTATTAAAACAATAGTCATGGATGAAAATTGATCGGAATTAAACATGTGGACTAAAACTGTCAGTTTGCTAATACTCGTAAAATAAAAAAATGGTATTTGCTCAAAAGTATACTTATAAATTAAATGCGAAAATATTGTTGAGTACTAATGTTCATAAATTACTTCCTCAGCCTACTTGATGGGTTATGGACCTTATCGACTGAGGCCCAAGAAGAAAAATAGGGCAAGAGGGCCTGACCCAGCTGATTGGACCAAAAGGACGAGGTATATTAATGGACAGAGGTCTGACCTGCGAAGTGAGCCGACCAAGTCCAAGACTCGGTTCAATGATGGTCGAATCCTAGGCAGTTGGTCCCTGCGAGGAGTCGGCTTTCAACAATAGCGTTGGGCCATAAATGCGGAGGATGGCCGTTCCACCAAGAAGCGTAACGGCCTGCGAGGAGTCGGCTTTCAACAATAGCGTTGGGCCATAAATGCGGAGGATGGCCGTTCCACCAAGAAGCGTAACGGCCGGGCACCGACTCTTAGCCATAATTACTATTCATTGTAAGCCTTAATCAGGGCATTTAAGCCTTTCTTTTTTGAAACTCCCACCGGCCCTGGTATAAATAGGCGATGAGAAAGCCGAGAAGAGGATGACATTCGATATACTGAAAGTCGAACAAAATACTAGCAAAATACATATCAATCTTCTTGTTTATTTTCCATTTCAGCCTATTTACTTTTCCAGCGAATCCACCAACTCTTTGGTTGTGTTGAACCTCCGTGGGCTGTCAAAAGTCCTAAAATCAACACTGCTGAAACACAAAGAGTCAATACTGATGACGAATTTTGACAATAAAATAATAATCGTGGATGAAAGTTGGTAAAAATTAAATATATGGACTAAAACTGTCATTTTGTTAATACTCATGAAAACAAATTCGGTATTTATTAAACTCATGACCTCCCATTTGGAAGAACCACTTCATGCCACTAGACCACATGGTCATTGTCACAAAACGTGAAAATATATAATTTTTTGAGTACTATTAACTATATTACAATACAGTATCTGTTCGTAATTTTGCATCGCCTCTACTGAAACTCCCACATAAGAAAGTAATTTGGTGCAACTAGTTCTTAGAAGTTAAAAAGAGTAAAAATGAGATGGGAGTAGAAATTAGGGTCCGTACAAGGAGTAGTAGGCGGTACATTTAATTCATTGCTTTGCATAGTTGGAAAGCGTTTGAAAAGGAAGAGGAGAGTCAAATCGTACGCACATGTGAACCGGCCGGACGGTGAGAAGACTCCAACAGTACAACAGCGACGCCACGTTCTCTCAAAATTTATCCAAAATTAAGATGGATTCGTACACGCTACTGCTCCACTGGGCGGGTCCCACTCTACCTATTCCCCTCAGGCCTCAGCAGTTAAATTCGGGTTTCCCCCTTTTTAACCCTAATTTACCATTTTTGTGGTTTTGCCAATGCCAGCTAGCCTGTCTGCCAAACCCCAAAGCAATCCTTCTCTCCTCTCAGACAATAAACAAATTAACTAAAAAATTAAATAAAGAAAAGAGAAGAAAAGAAGAGTTTGTTCATCAAATGAAATGAGAACACAGAAAAGTTAGCTACAGGGGACCTTGACCTTTCTTTCTCTTTCAGATCTCTTTGCTTTGTCGCCTAGACTTGGATCTTTGGAGTTTTCCGCAGTGGATGAGTTTGAAGAAGTAAAGATCTTGAGATGAATTCCTCCTCAGGTAGGTTTGTGAAGTATGTTTTTAGCTTAAATTTGTTGCTTTACGCATGCAATTCACTGTGTTTTTGTTTTTGGGTTTTAGGGTTTTTGATCCTTGTAGTGATGTAAGATCTTAGGGATTTATAGAGATGGAGGATTTGAGTGGAAGAGTAGCTTCCCCAATCATGATTCACCATCAATCACTTGCCGGTGGGTTGTGTGACCCTCGTTCTGTTGCGAAAAAACGCGGTCTTTCGTTTCAGCCTACGCAGAAGCGGGATTCATGGAATCCCAGAGCTTGGGAATGGGATAGCGCCAGGTTTGTGGCCAAACCGGTAGAATCTGATGCGCCGCGGCCGGAATTGCAGAGGAGAAGCCAGGAACAGTTGAAAGAACAAAGCTTTAACGACAAGCCTATCTGTGTCGTGGAAGATGATGAGACTCTTACGCTCAACCTTGGCGGTTGCGTGTTGAATTCGGCAGAAGAGGCGCTGTCGCGTCCCAGTAAACGAGTCCGATCTGGATCTCCTAACACCTCTAACTATCCTATGTGCCAAGTTGATAACTGTAAAGAAAATCTCACCAATGCTAAGGACTACCACCGACGCCATAAGGTCTGTGAGGTGCACAGTAAAGCAAGCAAAGCTTTGGTCGGGAAGCAGATGCAACGGTTTTGCCAGCAGTGTAGCAGGTTTGTGATGTTTCCATGGCTTTCATCCTATAGCCGTGTTGTTTTTTGTTATAATTAACAAATTTTGTTCTCAGGTTCCACCCGCTTTCGGAATTCGATGAGGGTAAGAGAAGCTGTAGGCGAAGACTTGCTGGGCATAACAAGAGGAGGAGAAAAACTCAGCCTGAGGAGACAACATCGCGGCCAATGCTTCCTGGGAGCAATGATGCTCCTGGGAATCGAGACTTGGATATTGTCAATTTGCTAGCAGTTATAGCCTCTGCTCAAGGTATAAACTGTATAATTCCATATGTGTTTTGTTATAACTTTGATTAATCTTACTTGGAAGGGACAATTTTACTGAAATGATTTGCATGTAATTCTAGGTAACAATGAGAAAAGGAGCACTAACCTCTCACCTCTACCTGATAAAGACCAGATAATGCAAGCTCTTAGTAAAATTAATTCATTACCCTTGCCAGCTAATGTAGTTGACAAATTGCCCATTAGTGGGAGCTTAAATGGTACCAATGCCAATCAATTACCCTCATCGGGCAAAGCTAGGGAGAACACCGCATCTCCTTCAACTCGGGACCTGCTTGCTGCACTTTCAGCAGCTTCGGCTGGTGCTGCTTCTGATGCAGTTGATGTTCAGTCCCAAAGAAGCAGCCAAGGGAGTGACTCCGAGAGAAGTAAATCAGCGTGTGTTGGACATGATACACGGATCAATTTCCAAAAACGGCCACCTTTAGAGCTTTCATCAGTTGGAGGAGAGAAAAGTAGCACAAGTTACCAATCACCTGAGGATCTAGACTCAAACATTCAAGAGACTCATCATAATTTACCACTACGGCTTTTTACTTCCCCCGCTGAAGATGTTTCCACACACACACCTCCAGTTGGCAGGAAGTATTTCTCTTCTGAGAGCAGTAATCCTTCAGCAGGGAGGTCGCCTTCATCTTCTCCGCCAGTTGTGCAGAAACTATTTCCTGTGCAGGACTCTAGAGGATCAACGAACCCTGATAGGATATTTGCCAGCAGGGAGGAGAATAGCAATGTTAAGGAAGCTAAAACAAATGGTTGTGTAACGTCGTTTCAGCTTTTTGGAGGCTTAATAACTGGGGCCGACAGTTACTCGATTCAAAGTTCTCCTTATCAGACAGGCTACACATCTTCTTCTGGATCTGATCATTCACCTGCTAGTTTGAACTCCGATGCTCAGGTATCTGCTCATGTATTTTGTCTTGTATTGTGTGTGATCAGTGCTTGAGATAGAAGTCATGGGACTGACTTTGGCATTGTTTTTTTTATTAGGATCGAACTGGACGCATAATGTTTAAACTATTTGACAAAGATCCCAGTCACTTGCCTGGGTCACTGCGAACGCAGGTGTGAAGTTTGGTTGGTTCACTCATTGTTGATCTTTCAAATGTTAATCATTAGCTCTTAATTATTTTGTTGCCTTGTTTTTCCAGATCTACCACTGGCTCTCAAATATTCCTTCAGAAATGGAGAGTCACATTAGGCCTGGTTGTGTAGTTCTGTCACTTTATTTGTCCATGCCGTCTCCTCTGTGGGAGCAAGTGAGTGAAATGCTGGGAGATATATGCGTCATTACCTGTTTACCATGTGAATTTTTCAATAACTATTCTCTCTCCATGTTGTCTTTGCAGCTAGAAGAAAATCTCTTCCAATATGTTAAGGCATTGATTAAAGATGTTGATCCTCAATTTTGGGCAAGTGGAAGATTTATAGTTAGAACCGACAAGCGATTGGCCTCACATAATGATGGTTAGCGTTGTTTCTTTCTGTTTCTAAATCTATAATCTAGATATATACTTTTAAGTCTCCCTTGTTGTATGTTTAGTTTCCTAAGTTGTTTGTAATACATTGCTCTTAAAAATAAGCAGAAATGAAATTAATTAATAGCATTACTCCTAAAGCCTGACCTTAAATGTTAGGCTACATCTTAAATGGTTTTTCATCTAATGTTTTATATGCTTTGAACTCAACAGGTAACATACATGTATACAAATCCAGGAGAGCGTGGAGATCCCCAAAGTTGATGTGTGTCTCCCCTTTGGCAGTTGTTGGCGGGCAGGAGATATCTCTCACGCTCAGGGGGACAAATTTGAATTTCCCCGGCACTAAGTACGTAGACTGTATACCGATAGACAAATTCTTCACATGACCTATTATTTTTCTCTGTAATAAGTTTTACTTTTGTCTTTGCAGGATTTATTGCACACATGCAGGTGGCTACAGAATAAGGTCGGTCAAAACATCAACTTGGCAGGATACTGTCTGTGAGGAAATAATCATTGGCAATTTTATGATCCATGGCACGGCTCCTAATGTACTGGGGCGCTTTTTCATTGAGGTAGTTCTCTGACCTTGCAATTTAACTACTTTTGCTATGATAAAGATTTCTGAAAGCTAGTGTTTTTTTTTAATCATTGTTTGACAAACCTCTGTTCTTTACTGCTACAGGTTGAAAATGGTATCAGAGGCACCAGTTTTCCTATTATTGTAGCTGATAATGCAGTGTGTGAAGAATTGAGGTGCCTTGAATCTGATATAAGCGAAGCTGAGAATGTTCGTGGTGCAGCTTTAGGACATGGAAACCCTGGTTTTGAAATGTCCAGGTCAAAGGAAGTTGTCCATTTCTTAAATGAGCTTGGGTGGTTATTTCAAAGAAAGTGCAGCTCCTCATTTGAGAGTCAAGATTTTAAGATTATCCGCTTCAAATTTCTGCTAATATTCTCTGTTGAGCATGATTTTTGTGCACTGGTCAAAACTCTTCTAGACATTCTGCTGGAGATTAACTTGGCTATGAAAGGGCTAGAAAATGAGTCTTTGGAGATGCTATTAGAACTCCAACTTCTGAGCAGAGCTGTTAAAAGGAAATGCAAGGACATGGTTGATTTGCTTATTAATTTCTCCGTATCTGTACCTGGTCACGACGTAAAGTATATTTTCCTACCAAATCTTCCCGGGCCTGGTGGTATTACACCTTTGCATCTTGCAGCTTGTACAGCAAATTCAGACGATGTGGTTGATTCTTTGACAAGCGATCCACAGGAGGTATTTTGTGCTTGTGCCTCTTGCAATAATTGGCTTTTAAACATCTAAATAAATTGTGTTGGATTATATATACTTGAGAAAATGGATTAATTCTCCCTTTTGATACCACTAGGGTCTGAATTTTATGGATTTTGCTCTTCTAATATGTCTGATGGTGTTTTTCCTTGTCTCTGTAGATTGGTTTGCATTGCTGGAATTCCCTTGTTGATGAAAATGGACTCTCCCCTAATGCGTATGCTTTAATGAGGAATAACCACTCCTATAACAATCTTGTATCTCAGAAGCTTGCCAACCGGGAAAATGGCCATGTATCTGTATCGATTGGGGGTGAAATAGATCAGCTAGAAATGGACGAGGGCCATAATAAACAGGCATTCCAGGTTGACCAGGGCCCCAAATCGTGTTCGAAGTGTGCAGCTGCTGCAATGAGACATAGCCGCCGGGGGGTTCCTGGTTCACAAGGATTACTTTATCGCCCATACATTCATTCGATGCTTGCTATTGCTGCTGTGTGCGCTTGTGTCTGTGTCTTCTTTCGAGGCGCCCCGGATATTGGGTCAGTCGCCCCCTTCAAGTGGGAGAACTTGGATTTCGGCCCACTGTAACTCAAGATTGACTAGAGCGAGAAATTTGAAGTTTGAACCTCGATTGATATATAGGTTGTTGTAGTAAAAACTAATCGGAGGGACATATATAATAACCAAGCAGCAGATGGAGGACCACTTGTTCGTGAAGATGACCTCGTCCTATCAGTGGAACCACCGGGAAGGCTCGTGTGCTGCCTGCTCCAGTCCCGAATACTATCTATGCTTTATACAACAAGTGTTTCTAAGTTTCGAGTGGAGTCAAAACTCAGAATGGTATTGCGGCATTTGTCTCTGTAGTGGCGGCTGGGGTTCGGCTCGGGCAATTGCAACGTAACTTTTGATGAAATGGAAGAGGGAAGAGGTATAACCGCTAAACCGAGGCGACGAGGCAAGAACATGAGGCTGTTATTGTAAAGCTCATCAAGTAAGTTGTTCTGTTGGCTAGTGATAGGATTCTGGTAAGTTGACTAATTTCTTTTTGTTCTCTTTTGTTTGTATTTTTTTTTTTTTTTTTGGGTGGGTGTGGGTGGACTAGAGGATAACTGACTTTGGCTCCATTTTGTTACTGTAAAGAATTAGTAGGTGCACCAGATGTTACACTATTTAATATCTATATCATATATGGTTGGACAGTAACTATTATTCTTTTCAAATATATTGACAATAATATAGTACTCCGTATTTGATGTTTCATTTTGCGTGGGTTTGAGCGAAGAAAGTGTGTAGGGGTTGTTGAAATGTGTACTTTGACGAGAACTTGAGCCATATGAATATAAAAAATAAACTTAAAATGTAAAGGGTCAACTGATGTTTGTGTGAATATATATATATATATATATATATATATATATATATATATATATATATATACTATACTAATAAGAGCCCAAGAGAGTTAGGCCTATAATGGGTAGAAAAAATGGCGGTCACAGATTTTAATCAAATGAATGGCTCATATTGATTAAAAGATTGATAAGATTTAAATTTTATACTAAAATTTCTTAAAATACTCACACACCGTTACTAATTCCGTTGTTAACTTACTCATTGATTTCAATAAAAAAATAAAGGTCTTAGGTTCGAACTTCATCCCAATTAAAGTTGTCATAATTAGTACTCTATTTTACTCTTATTAAATTATTATATAAATAATAATTTAGTAGCTACAACAAAAAATTATAGATATGCATTTCTTTAATTTAGAATTATGTGTCCACAATGCCTTTATTCAAAAAAAATTATTCATTATCAATAAATTAAATAAGAGAAATAATTGTATTAGTTATATTGTCTTTATTTTTCTACAATATAAAAATTCTTTATATTCAAATTTATTAATTGATTACATTTGCTACATTGTCCTTACAATCTCTTAATTCAGTGAAAAAAAATTATTCATTATCAATAAATTAATTAAGAGAAATATTTTCATTAGTTATATTGTCTTTATTTTTCTCAAATGTAAAAATTTTTACATTCAAATTCATCAATTGATTATATTCACTACATTGTCTATTATCTTTTTTGTGCACTATTTTTCTAATTAAATATCAAAGTTATAATACAAAATAATGCTATATATTTATTTACCAAGTATTTTATTAATACCATGAAAAAATTAAAAAATATATAATTAATAAAGCCAACCATATTAACTACTTGAGAGATTTTGTGACAAAGAGAGTATTCAAATCACACAACAAATTGGAGTGAGAACTACCTTGCAATGTCCTTGTTTGACAATCAGCAGTTAGCGCGCGGATTATATTAGCGGATTTGACCAACGAATTTATTTAATTATTAACATTGGGTAGAAAAAATGACCGCCAAATTATTAAATCAAATGAATGGTTCAAATTGTTCAGGTCTTAATTTTTTTTTAAAATTTTTCTAATTTATCCTTAATTTTTTTTTAAAATTTTTCTAATTTATCCTTAATTATATGATTATCCATTTAACTTTTTCGTTAAATACCATTAATTCACCGTTAGTCTAATTATAATATTAACGTCTAATATATAATTATAATTACACCATTAATCTAATTCTAATATTAAAGTCTTAATAGAACTTAACCACAAATCCTAATGTCGAAATCTCCTCAAACAATATTAGTATATATTTAATATTTTATGCCCTAATTTTTATTTGTTCTCTCTTATGTCCCGTATTTGGTTTCAACAATACCTATACAATTATTTTGTTGACAATTATAATCAATCTTGACTATATTATCTTGCATTTGTAAACTTAGAATTACCTATTTAACCCGCACGGGCTTAGCTCAATGGTTTAGTGGGCAGTATTTGGGAGAAGAGACCAAGGTTTGAACCTCGGCGGCGGCAGTGCGGGAATTATGTCCAAAGTGGGCAGATTCCTTGTTCGCACCGGCATTTGGTCCTGTCTGCTGAACCATTGAGTCACCGTGATTTACAACTTCCTACAATGCTCTATCGGGTCAGAGTGTGGGGAGCCCTTGGGGTAGGGGACTCAACCTTTGGGAGAAGAATTACCTATTTAAATACGCAAATTCAACCTTCAATTATCTATGCATGAACAATTTCAATATAATCTTGCCTTAATATACTTTAAAGTACTTATTTAAAAAAAAAAACATTGGGCATTATCCCAATCGCGCAATGCGGGTAAAAAACTAGTATATAAAGAATAATGGTCAAATATGTCATCCAATTACACAGCAAACTGTAATTGGATTATTGAACTAAAAAAAGTACAATTAAGTTCCCGAACAATGCGAAATAATGCAATTTTTAAAATGACCTCTTGACCTGTAAGATGTCGATGTTGATGTGACAGTTACCTAATTTTAAAATTTTATTTTAATAAATGTAAATTAAATAATTATTTATTTTTTTTTTAAAAAAACACTCGCTTTCTCACCGAAGAAGGCGACATGGGTTGCCTTCTCATTGGAGAAGTCAACCCAATTGCCTTCCCCGATGAGAAGGTCGTTGAGTTAAGGCGACATGGGTTGCCTTCTCATTGGAGAAGTCAACCCAATTGCCTTCTCCGATGAGAAGGTAGTCGAGTTTTTATTTTCATCGGAGAAAGTAGCTGAGTGTCTTTATTTTTATTTTTTATTTTAAATAATTATTTAATTTAAATTTATTAAAATATAAAATATAAAATATAATTTTTTTTTTGAAAATAAAAAAATATTTTAAAATTCAGCAACTGCCACATCAACATGTTATTAGGTCAACAAGTCATTTTAGATTGAATTGCATTCTTTAAAAACTTTTAGGTTGAATTGCATTATTTTGTATTGTTTGGGAATCTAATTGTAATTTTTTTTTGTTTTGTTTTGTTTTTGTTTTTTTTTTTTTTTTTGTTTTGAGTTTGATGGCTCAATGTAATGTTATCTAGGGTCTTGTTTAGTTCTATATTTTCAAGTTTTTTTTTTTTTTTTTTTTTTTTTGGAACCCTATATTTTCAAGTTAACCACTTATTGTTCTTTAACTTTTAAATTTTAATCAATCTTGGTGTTTTAGATATTTTTCTTTATGGTATAGAAGATCAAGCATAACCTTTCAATAGCTAAACGTAAAAGTGGAGTAATATTCATACATCCACCAAAAACAATAGAAGCACCAACAACCTGAAAGGATGGCAAAAACAGGACTACATAATGCTTCACTAACCATTCAGTATACTTTACACCAATTATCTAATAGGCTTTTAATAAAGCACTTCAATCTCAATTCTTACTTTTACATTTGGCTACTTCTTTATAAACAAATGGAAGCATCCCAATTTTACCATCAAACATTTCATTTCTTTTTGAATCAAAATTGAAGGCGAGCAACAACACAAAGAAACATTACTTTCGTGAGTTAATACCATCTGAGGTCATTCGAGTATAGTGGTTTTGTCACGTTTAGTCATAAACTTTCAAATTGATCATTTGTCGTCCTTCGACTTTCAAATTTAACCATTCGTGGTCCAAATTAACCACCCATGGTCCTTCAAGTTTCGAAATTTAACCAGTCGTGGTCTTCTTAAAAGGACCATCTTTGGTTAAAATTATTTAATAGTCAAAGGACCATGGGTGGTTAACTTCGACCATAGATGGTTAAATTTGAAAGTCAAAGGACCACAGATGGTCAATTTGAAAGTTTAGGACTAAACGTGGCAAAATCACTATACTCAGAGGACCTCAGATGGTATCAACTCTAACTTTCGTTATAAATTTTTTACTTTTACAAATATGATATGATTATTCTCTTCAGGCATGAGATAATATTTTTGAGAAGTTCTTGAGAGATAAAAACCATTTTTCATTTATATGAAAACGGTCTTACATATATATGAAACAAAGATTATTATGAGATGAATTTGAATCAAGTTAATACCCAATATAGTCTTCGACTATAATGATTTTTCTTGATTTAGTCCTAAACGACTTTTTGTGCATAATTAGATCATTGACTTTGATGGTTTTACCCAATTGAGTCATCGACTATTAGAATTAAAGACTAAATTGAAAAAAATCACTATAGTCGAAGACTTATTTGAGTAAAACTAATATAGTCGATGACTAAATTGGATATTAGTAGAAGTGAAATTACCAAACTATCTTAAAAGAGGACTCAATTGGGTAAACCATTAAAGTCGAGGACCTAATTAAGCCAAAAAAAAAAAAAAAAAAAAACGTTTAGCACTAAATCGAGAAACATTACTATAGTCGATGACTAAATTGTGTATTAACTTAATTTGAATCAATCATAGATATGCCGCCTTGTGTATTAACTCAATTTGAATCAATCATAGATATGCCTGTAACTTTACATTTTGGTTTTCCTCTGTTAATGTAGGCTTGATAAAATTTGAGTGAGATTTCAAAGATCCTTTAACTCTCCTATGAAACTTGTTTTTGACATATTTAGTGCACTAGCCATGGAACGAATTGTTATGCGACGATTCAAAGGAATTCTTGCACCATCTTCGACTTTAATCTCATTCCTTTTGCTACCAACATTACTTGACAAATTTAGAGAAATATCAATTGATACACTCTTTTTCCATATTCGGCTAATAGTTCTAATAGAGACAATACAAACTCACAACATCTTTAATTAATCCATGTTTTACTTTTTGATTCACATTGTGTTTTAACAAAGTTTCAAAAATAATCTCTTATCCTTATAACTTCTTGTGTTAGAACTTCAAACACCATCATAACTTTGTTCTTCTATAAATTCCATTAATAGACAAGAAAAAATTTGTATAGAAAATTCTCTATAGAGTACTCTATAAAAGAAATTAAAGAAATGCTTCCTGAAAATTACAATATGTATATTAAGCATTTTATTGACCATGAAATATATGGAGTAGAGTTTTTTTTTTTTTTTTTTTTTTTTTTTTTTTTTTTTTGGAAACATTGGAGTAGAGTATTTTAATCACTAAATGTCAAATCAAATTTTGGTAGAAAATATTGTCCCAATTTTTTCTCAATTTAACGATATTTTTCTCAATTTCAATAATCGTATTGCATATATAGGCAGACACTGATCATTTTTCTCAAGCAATAATATGGAGTATAAAAAATACATTTTATACGGAGTATAAAAGAAATCCTAGATTGAATGAAAACTAATTTTTCAAAATTTTAATCTTCAATTTCAATACATTTAGGAAAAATACACATATATATAGTGTAGAAAACTAACGTT